ATCATGGTGATGTTCCTCATTGTTCTCCATTAAAACAAGGAGCTGACTGAAGCAGCTGCTCGTCATCGATTCATTCAGGGCAGAAGAAGAGTCACGTGACGCCTTAACGCCTCCTTTAATGAGAACAGAGTCTGAAGCAGGAAGCTGGACCTCCTTCATGTGGTCTCTGCTGGAGCTTTAGTTCATGTGGAGCCGCTGCACAGAGAAAGTCTGGATCTGTTGAACTGGCTTCATAGTACAGGCCTCATATCTGCCGTTTCTGTTCTCACCGACCCCCAAACGGTTTATTGTTCTGCTCTGTTTGTGTCTTGTGTCTTCTCCATTTGATATCCTGCTCTCCCACCATCCTACCCTCACCCCAACCGGTCGAGGCAGATGTGTGCTGTTCCTAAGCCTGGTTGTGATGGAGGTTTCTTCCTGGTAAAGAACAGTTTTTCTCCCCACTGTTGCTAGATTTGTTGGGTCTTTATATATAATTTTGTCAGGCCTCCATCCCACTGAGTGTGAAGTGACAAGAAAGAAGCTGAATTCAGTTTATCTGAACAAATGCAAAATACTAACCCCTAAAACTGCAGCAGTTAATATTTGAGAGAGAAAGACAAGCCACAGGTGTGAATGAGCATCTTTTTGTCTCTGACGGCGCTCATGAACACTCACAGTTCCTTCATGCGTCGGTATTTAATCAAGCAGGAAGTTATGCTGGAAACAAAAGCTAGCGACCCAAGAAAAGCCTCAGAAATACAGAACACAGAGACAGCAACAAGCTGCCAGTAAACATGAGTACGTTTGTGTATTGTGTGCAGTGAGCTTTATGCTGGAGGTACAGCTGATATATGACACACGCAACTCTCCAGATGAACAAAGAGCCGCCTACCACCAAATGCTTGTTCTTTGTTTCTGTTGTTTCACATCTGTTGAGCTGCAGCTGAGAATTTTTAGAGCAGCTTCAACAACACCAGCGTCGCTGATTTATTGTTGTAAGTCTGTTTGTTCCTCTCGAATTTAGAATGAAACTAAGGCTCTCTGTGGTCTGTATTCAGTATTACAGTCCTTCATCCATACAGCACTAAAGTATGTGTGTACTGCAGCAGCTTCATACTCTATAAATATATGTCTGAACTACTGCAATATAACAGAAAAAAGAATATTATATTCTATGAGATTCATGGAATTTATTGACGTTATCTTTAAAAATTGTATTTGTGTGCAACAAAACATCAACGTGGAGTAAAAGTGTGCGCTAACTAGAAGAACAACGGGAATGCTGAAATGAAGAAAGCTTCAATAAATCACATCCAGGGACCTCTGATGAACACATCACTGTGACAAGGTGACTGTGAACACATGAAACCTGCAACACACACAAACACAGCGGGAATGAAAGATCTACTGTTCTGATGGGAATAATGGATTCTACAACACTGGTTCCCAACATGAAGTCCTAACACTAACCCTAACTGCAACTCTGAGCTCCAGGCCTTCACGTATGGTTAGTTTTGCAGCTGTTTCTGTGATTTCTTACAGGTGGAATGGCTCTAAAGTTCTGCTGTCTGCCAACAAGAGAAAATGTTTGTGTTCAGATTGAAGAGCACCTGCTTCAGTCCTGTCCACACGTCATAACACTGCTGTCTTCTCTGTGTGAATATCAAAGAGGATATGAAGACTCATGAGTCAGGCTCTGATCCTACCTGCTCCTCAGAATACAACTGATCACAAATCATACAGAGATCTTAATGACCACAGTATGTTCCGTAAACACAAATAAAACCAGGAGAAGACAGACTAGTGTGCATCCAATCCTATAATTGACAAATGATGTTGATGATATGACACATAACAGAAGTCTCCAGCAGCTGCTTCATGAAGGACAATTACCTGTAAAGGTGGAGTCAGACTTCACCTGCAGAAACATGCTGGTTTAATTACAGTCGTGAACTAAAGCTTCCATCCTCTTATAAAGACAGTGTTCATCATGTCAGTCTTTAGTCTCCAGTGACTCCTATAACTCTGAATTTTCTATGATGGAATCATTGAAACATGAATCTTTGGCACTAAAACAATCCTGGATTCTGGGTTCTGTCATTGATTTATTAAAGTTCTTCTGGAAACATGGCAGAATCTGCTGGATCATAAATATACATACAGCCACCTGAAGGATCAGTCTTAGTGATGTAGATGTAAACCATCTGATCCACTCATTAGACTCAGACACTACAGTGGGAAAGTCTGAGGAGCTCAGCAAAGATCTGGAGAAGAACATCAGTGACTGGAACCAGTCAGAAAGTCACTTGGAGCCATTTCAGAGCAGCTTCAGATCCAGAACCATCAGTGTGTCAGCATAAAGCTCATGGTCCAGTTGTGTTACTGCCACCATCAGGAAGGAAACACAAACTACCAGCTGCTGCTGAGAGACGACTGGTCAGGATGGTCAAGAGTCAACCAGGAACCAGCAGGAAGCAGCTCTGGATGGACCAGAAGCTGCTGGAACACAGCTGTCAGTGTCCACAGGGTCTGACATCAACATGAGCTGAGAGGCTGATGGAGAAGGAAGTTCTTCCTCTACAAGCAGAACCTTAAAGCTCCACTGGTCACATGGACAAAGAAAAGGCCTTCTGGAGGAAAGTTCTGGTCAGATGGAACCAACACTGAGCAGAAACATGTCTGGAGGAGAGAAGGTGAGACCTTAAACCCCAAGAACACCAAACCTGTTCTGCTGTCAGTGGACACAAAGTAGATGGACCAATGAAGAAGGAGGATCACCTCCACGTTGTTCAGGAAAACCTGAAACCATCAGCAGAAGGTTGATCTTGGACACAGGTGGATGTTCCAACCAGACAATGAGCCCAAACACACATCAAAGTGGTGAAGAAATGGTTCCATCAGGCTGGAATGAAGGTTCTAGACTGGTCTCCCCAAAGTCCTGACTGGAACCATCCAGAACCTGTGGACTGCTGAAGGAACAAGTCTGAAGCATAGTTGAACTGAAACAATTCTGTCCAGAGAAGTTGAAGATAACCCAGAAGCTGGTAGACGGAAACCAGAGGAGACGTTTAACCAGATATTAGCATTTCTGTACATATATGTCACAGTCCAAATAAAAATGCAGGCGGATTTTAAATCTGCCTAGGCAAGATTTAAAATTTGATTTGGTCAAGGCAGATTTCAAATCTGTCTGGGCAGAACTAAAATGCTGATTTTGCCGAGACCAAATTAAAATCCTTCTAATATCATCATGAGATTGTGATCTTGCCTGGGTACATTTGAAATCTGCCTGTCTGCAAATGGACCCTGCTGCCAAAACAGACTGTGATAATACCAGAATGCAAATCAATCACTAAATTCTGTATCATACATTTTATGTTTTGTACTGAAACAATTAACATTTAGTACTTAATTAGTTCTAAAACATTTCAAAAGGCAGCAGCCAGAATGTAGTGCAATAAATCAGTTGTGCTTAAATTGACATACTGTTATAAAATACTAAGAAGTGTTCATATGTTACTGTCAACTTACTGTTATTTGTGTCATGTCTGTCAAGTTCTTGTTCATGTTTACACGTTGTATGTCTCATCTTTCCTGTTTTATTTTGAAATCACGTCACCGGGTGTTTCTATTCCAGTTTTACTTCCTGCACCTGTCTTGTCTCACCTGTTCCCTGATTACCTCCCTACACCTGTTTCCCATCTACCCTCGCTACCTCGTGTATATTACCCTGTGTCCTGTGTGTCTCACTGTCTCGTCGGCAGTTCGTTGCACTTCTCAGTCCTCGTACCAGCGTTGTCAAGTCAAGTCAAGTCAAGTCATAGTCTGTTTTGTTCACAACCTCATTTCTGTTTTTTGGACCTTGCTTTTCGCCTGACGATTCCTGGATACCTCTGCCTTGTCTGATTGACCTACCTGTGTACCGAACCTTGTTTGCCCGAACCTATTCTAAGTCGAGCATTTGTGTCCACCTGTTCTGTGAGTGAGTTCATGACAATTTGTTTTCTGTATGTATATGATAAATGAAATAAAATGAAATATTCAATGAATATCCACATATGTTTGTTGTATATGTGTTTTCCTTCATGGTTATACAAAAATTAAATCTATTCCAGAAATTTTAATTCGTGTTTTTAAACCTGCCTATGGAGGCTTACAATCTCAATTTGTTATAAGGATGACTTCAATTTTCTCTACACCAAATCAACATTTTAGTTCTGCCCAGACAGATTTAAAATCCGCCTTTATTTTAATTTGGACTGTGACATATATTTATGACCCAACAGATTGTGTCATACTGATCCTATATCATTTTGTGGTTTCATGTGCTTCAATGATTCCATCATAGAAAATTCAGAGTTGTAGGAGTCACTGGAAACTCAAGACTAACATGATGAACACGATCCTACAAGTGGATGGAAACTGTTTTCAGGACTGTATCTGCTCTGACTGACTAAACCATCCATCCATCCATTATCTATACATCACTTAATCCTTATTAGGGTCGCGGGGGGGCAGGAGTCTATCCCAGCTGACGTAGGGCAAAGGCAGGGGACACCCTGGACAGGTAACCAGTCCATCGCAGGGCACTAACTAAACCACCTCTGCTTTATTAATCCTTTCACATCACCACCAAGTCAAGCTGAACCCTCTGAACCAGTGTTCTAGAAACTCACTCTATGATGTACTCACATCACACACATACATACACGGACACACACACACACACAGATGCATAGACATGTCCACATCTCTCTCTGACAAACATGGAAACACTATCAAAGACTAGCACTAAGAACCGTGACCTGGACATCAGAGGAAACACTTTGAGGTTCTGCTGCATATAACACACCTTGTGTCATATGTTCAGTGGACACAGTAACACAGACACATGACAAACATGTTACATGTTCACTCACCAAGTAACACACAAAAGTGGGCAGCAAAGAAAAAACAGTCACAAAAAGTTACTGTGAAGTTCAAACAATCAGCCGAACCAACAAACAGAAATGCAAGTCTGAGCACCGTCATCATCTATCAATAACTGTGATCATCTATCAATAACCGGTATCATCTATCAATAACTATTATCATCTATCAATAAC